AAGCTATGAGTAGCCCCTGAATGACTCTAAGCAGATATCAGACAGAAGCAAATTTGGATTTCCAGAAAGATAACTCTGGAGGCACTGTGGCGAGATTAGGAGGGATTAAGACTGGAAGTGGGGAGGCCTATCAGGAGACTGTGCAGGAATCCAGATAAGAGGGGGCTGAGGCACTGCCAAGCCGCATGCAGAGGCCACCCAGGGGCTGAAAGCAAGCCGGGTCGCCACAGGAGTCAGCTGAGGTGCGCCTCGCAGCAGATGGGCCACGGGCCACCTTCCACCCAGTGCCCACTTTCTGTCCACATCTGTGCTTTCACTCTCTTCTTCCACCTCTCCAAAATAAGGAGTTGAACTAAGTAGCCCCTTTCCTTTGAAACAGTCTTGAAGGTTTCTCAACAACTTTCCCATTTTTAAAGTCTGTAACAAAATACACACTGAGTATCTTGGCAGAATTGTATCTGGCAAATCATTTCATGTATAGGAAAGTGATACAGCTCTCTAACTCAGCTCTCAGCTTCTAAATAGCTGGGATGTTGTCTTAGAATGCTTTGTATTTCCTTCAGTATTTACCAGGAATATCTTGTACAATAATAGGTCAGCAGGTAAAGAGATTAGCATCCTTTATAAACAAAGAACTTTTATGAGCTCCCTTGTCTCTTTAGATCAGATGCTTGACCAGCTGTCTTTCTGCATAGCTCATTAATACTGCGGCATGGCACAAAGTAGCTCATACCATCTATAACACCAAAGATTTTTTTTTCAAATTTTGAAATATTTGCACATACATAATGATATGTCTTGGGAATGGAACCCAAACCTAAACACAAAAGTCACTGATGTTTGAATGTATACCATACCCTACATATAAAAATAACCTGAGGCAATTTTATACAAATATTTTTAATAAAGTTATGAATGAAACAAAATTTTATAGTGAGGAATTTTCTACTTTGGTGTCATGCTGATGCTCAAAAAAACTTCAGATTTTGGAGCATTTGGGGCTAGAAATGGCCAATTTATATTAACTTTTTTCTCTTATGTTTGAGAAGAACTTTGCCTTAAATGTTTTCTCACCTACTCTTCTGCATATCCACTACATTCCACCCCAGTTCAAATGGCTTATTTTTGCAAGTCTCCATCTTTGTATCTTGAGAAACACTTTCACCCTGCACCTTTTTTTTGATCCAAGCAATGCTCTATTACTCTTCAAACTTTTCTATGATGAGAAAGTTGTATGCCTTCTCTCAGGCACCATCAACTAAGCTACTGCACTTTAATCTCCTGTGTTTTCTTGATTTGTTCCTAAAGATGCTCTGAAACTAAAATTATACTGACTGGCCATCGTATAAAGAATACTGTAACATATACTTTAAGGAGATTAAATGGAAAATAGTAGTCAATTCAATAAATCTCTAATTGAATTGGACATTGAGGCAACACAGTAGGACTGATGTGAGCAGAAAATTTTTCTGACACTTGAGAATTTATTAGCATATAAATTGTAAAACATCCAGAAAAAGACAGTTTGTATTGTTCAATTTCTTATTATCTAGCACTTTGTAATAGACATGGTTATTCATTACATTGTAAAGTGTAGACATTCAACTTTAAATTAATATTATCTTTCCTTCTCTAGAGTTCTGAAAGATGAAAATTTTATTCTATTTATCTTCCAAGTAATCTATTTACATTAGAAATATGTGAGGAGTTTTAGGAAAATGCTTCAAAACATTTTATATATTGCTTTAAAAGCAAAGAATAAGCTAAAACCTGAGAGGCAATCAGGTAAAGCATGCTGCATACACGAGTCTTTAAAACAAATGTCTCTGGAGAAGACAAATGAGCTTTAGCTACTTATATGCTATGGAATATAAGAGTAGTTACAGTTTAAATAGCATTTCAAATACCAGAGGTAAAATAAAAGAATTAAGCTTCCGGTTTCAATTTTCTGCCATAATTCTTTATACTGCGCAGAGTTTTCAGAGCATGTTCCTTGAATTTAAAAGAATCATTAAGTTCCAGGTATAGTGGTCCATGCCTGCAGTCCCAGCTACTTCGAGGCTGAGTCTGGAGGATTGCGTGAGCCCAGGAGTTAGAGGATAGCCTGGACAATGCAGTAAGACCCCCATCTCAAAATTTTTAAAAATAAAAATTACATAAATAAAAATTGAGACCTAGACAATTTAGTTTTATTTTAAAACCTAATTCTATAAGACATACTTAGAAGTACCTAAGAAGCAGCTGTATTCCTTTCCTTTCACATGAGTGACAGTCGCACTCACTTTAAGCTGGAAACACTACATCCTTTGATTTCTCTTAGTTGAAAAAAATAAGCTTTAAGAGCCACGTGTTTTTTTCAAAGGGGTATTGAATTCTCAGAATTATTAATTACTGGGAGAAAATAAAAGTCAAAATTCATTCAATAAACTCCAATGAGCTCCAATTAAGAGAACAGGTGCCCGAGCACACATCTGAAGAAAAGCTCAGCAAGGGCTTTCCAGCTCCGCTGCGGGGCTAACCAGGCAGACCTGACCTCCTCGTCCGACCACAGAACAACGCAGGCAGCGGGGACAGACCAGGCAACCTTTGTTCGTCCATCCACACTGAGCAAGCTGGCGGAAAGCACCTCTCATGTCCTTCAGCAGTGCTCTTTTACAGAGATACAGAGCTGCCATCTAGTGACCGAGGAGAGAAAAGCAAGGTGCTTTGCAGGGAAAACTAGCACATCTAAGTCATAACAACTTCAAAATGCATAGTTTAATGCACCTATATCACTGTATAATGTATCTTGACATATGGCTTTTATAAAAGGTATAGTTTAAAATTAAAAGAAAAGCTTGTTAATAAATTTCTCATCCATCTGAAGGTTTTGGAATCGGATTGCCCTAAATAGCCATAAGGTGACTATTCATGTGTAAGTACAAATTTTTATCATAGTGGAAGTATAAAAGTTGATGCATAAACTCAAATCTTAACCTTACCCTTCATCAATTTTAAAGCTTTAAGCAAATTACTTTTAACTGCTATAGGCAGGTAGGCATAATAATAGTCAGGAATCATTTTCTTTATAAGAATTATAACACTGTGTTAAAGGATTATTATAAGGATTACAAAGAGGAATGCAGAGGAAAAACCACAGTTGTTGATAATTAATTCTAGTTCCTTATTATCCCTTTATGGTCAGCCACTTTAGGTTCCTATGTACATACCTGTATCATTTAAAGAGCCAGCCCATTAAAAAAAAAAATCTTATGACAAAAGACCAATGATTCCAAAAGCAATGTCATTGTTGAGTGCTTAACCTCAACTCCTTCCAAATATCATTACCTCTCAATTCATTGTACTTCCCAGCTTCTAGACACTTCACTGCCAACAAGGAAAGGATAAGATGTGATATTTATTCAATCTACTTCATCCTTAAGTCTGTTTTAAATCATCCAGTCCATTAGGTTTTCTGTTTATTGCAAGATATTGTGCTATGCTACATAGCTTGAGAAAAACAGAAGATCACTCTGTAATTTTGCACATGGAAATATATCATAAAATATTATAATTGTAATCTTAATATAGAGAACAATGTTACTCATGTTTTATTGTCATTATAGAATACTTCATGTCTGGGTTCTCTTTGGCATTAGCTTATATAATAAAGAATTCAGTCATATATGCTCTAGACATAGAATTCAGAAAAATCTATTTAGCTATGTTTGCCTACCCAAAAAATGAAAATATGAGAAGATATTTTGAGGGAAAAATGTTGATTCCTAACCCCCCCCATGGCTAATCATTGAAGTTAATTAATAACCAACAGCTGAGACCACCATGCCTCTCAAGGTTGTTGCAAATTTCTGCTCTGACCAAAAAAAATGCTGGGGAAACTTGCTTTATTTTTAAATGACACTATCTTTAAGCGTAGCTTTACTCTTAAAGGTAATAACCTACTAGCTTTATTTTTTTTTAAAGTTACCTGTGCACCAAATTTTCAGCTGGTGCTGTACCCCTACTCTTCCTCCAGGGGGAGCACAACTTTCATATATGATGAAAGACTTCTTTGTAAAGGGGAAATCAGTGAAATTTCCAAAGATCACCAATTCTTTTACAGAAAAGAACACTATGTCCCAGATAAGCTACATATATCATCACACACTAACCAGAAACAGATCTTGGTGTAGAACCTAGGTACAAGTACTCTTATTTCCTATTAGACCACACTCAATAGAACGGAACATATCTTCTTTCTGTTGATTTCTAATATAATATTATTTTCAAAAGCATAGTTGGTGAAAGTAAAACTAAATTTAGAAGTTTTTAAAGTTTTGTTTTATATCCCAAACAGCAATTGCTATCCAAAATTACTGTTCCTAACAAATGTCTACTTTCTTGTCTTAATTTTTTTTTACAGTATGTCCATTTGAGTAGAAAGGAAACAGACAAAATTTGGCTTCTTTAATAATAGAGAAAAGAGTTCCACAGAAATTGAACAGACATCAATATTTATCCACCACAGCAATTTAAGAATCTTAGGAGCTGTGGCTATAGCTCAGTGGTATAGCACTTGCTGAGCATACACTAGGCCCTTTGTCATATCCCTAGCACTGTCCTCTGAAAAGGGGGAGGGGAATCTTATTTGATTTCAAAAATCTTTGACGGCTTCTCTCTCCTTTTTTCAGAGTATCCATGCTTCTATTCTATGAGGTGCATTTCAGCACAGAAGCCTCCTGAATGTGGCGAGTTTCCTGCTGGAAACAGTTGTTGGGCCCCATTCTTGGGCCCATTGATGCAGCTTCTGAAAAGCCTGTGCTCAGTTCCACTTCAAAGCTGATTTCTTTGCAAAATATAAATGGAAGAAAACATCCCCTTCTGCCTTCTGACTGAGTTCCCACAGACTAAGGAAAACAAAGGTGGCCTAGCCAGCTGGGCAGATGAGAAGACAAACCACAGAGCCTATCACAATTTTAAGACAAATAAAACAGTGATTCAACACCAAAATAAGATCTTACCTGCTGAACAACATCTGAAGCTTTTTTTGGAGTTTCCAAAATAGCAGATTGAGATTCTGGATAGGAAACGAAGCAGACAGTCAATAGTTTAAAAGAAAGGGAAGGAAAAATAAACATTTTCCTCAGTCAAAAAATAAAACTTTCAGTAAAATATATCTTCGTAAGTACCAAAAACATCCAATCTGTTGCAATTGTTACACTAATAGATTATAAAAATAGAAAAACTTTGTAAGATAAAACACACATATAATAACACTCATCATTATTTTTAAAAACTAGAATAGTCTTATTGCCTTCTTTGCACATCAATCATAGCTATTTTTCTCGATTGCTAATTTTTGTATTGTGTCAGGAAATCTTAACAACAATGGAAGCCACCTCAGGCTTGAAGGATGGCATCTCAAAAGCCTTTGGAAAACTATTCACAAGCTACCTCTGGTTTCCATGACAAGGAAGGAATACTGTTACTAACAGAAATTCAGTAATAAACCTCTTTATTCCTTTTGTATTTTTGTCATTTGAGATTCTGTGAGATTGCAAAATCATCGTGCTGGAAACCCTAAGAGATAACCAAGCATAGGATTTTTGTTTAAACTAGAGGATATCTTCTCCTAAATGAAGCTTGCATGCAAATTTAAAAACATAAAAATAAAAAAGCTTTCAGGAATCCCCAGAGTTCCATGGATCAGAGTATAAAAACCACTAATTCTCATCCCTTCGCAGCGTGGTAAATAAGGAGCCTAAGCTCCATAGCATAGTAGGTGGCAAGATGAAAATGAGTGTTTATGTCTCCTGACTATCACATTCCTCCCCCTTACCTGCCTAGCCTGCAGATCAGACAATGGACACAAGATGCAGCAGTCACTAGCCATGATCACTGCAACAATCCCAATTTAGAAACATTGGGGCTGTCACAGTGCCACAGAAAAATAAAAGGCATTTGCTATCTAAATAGCATAACAGATTGTGAAGCTACCATGACAGTTTTCACTGTACTCACATGAGTGGCAGCCTTGACAGAGGCCTTTGAGCATTGTTTCTTCAGCCCATGCTTCCTAATCAACTGCCTGCACCTTTCCCCACTTGCTCACTGCGCTCCAGCTACCCTGGCCAGCTTGTCATCCTCTAACATACCAGCCAGGTCCCCTCCCCAGGGCCACCAAAACCACAGCGTCTGCTGTTCCTTCCCAGGACGTTCCTTCTCCCCAGTATCCTCAGGCCCCACTCCTTGGCTCTATCTCCCCTCTTATGCAAACAAATCTACAATCTGAATTGACATCAGACTTTAACAAAGCCAAATCTAAATGAAGATCTTTGACATCAAGCCAGTCAGCAACTAATAATGAAGTAACACTCCTGTTTTTTGGTGTTCTTCACTCCCAAATGCTCTCCAACACACCCAGTCCTGGCTTTGTACACATGTAGGAAAGTTTCTTTACCTCTTCTATTTACATAGTGCAATATGAGCCCAAAGGATCTCCTAGTGGCACCCTAATTGCGCTTTACATTAGAAATCCTTCCCAGTTGTTTTCTATAATCCCTGACCTGGTGACCCACATTTTTTAAAAAATTCCTGGTCTTTGCTAGAAAAATTGGGACCAAATATTCTCAACACCTATACCCAAATTTTCAGTTACCCTTCATTTACAAGACATAATTGAAAAATATGATAAATGGTCATTTTTTAAAAAAATTTACAGAAAAGACACATTGCTGTTGGTATTTATTAAAGTTCTCACACACACACACACACACACACACTTAAAAAACACTTATTCCATTGTTCTAGCCACTTCTAAAGCAGTTCTGGAGGTCCTCTTTCTTCAGTGTCTTTGCTTATACTGTCATGGCTCTCTTGATGTCCTGAACCAATTCAGAATGTCTTTGTATTATGCTCATGAGGCCAAAACCCCAAGATGCCAGATTCAATGAAGAAAGTGGATGAGGACACAGTGTAATGTTTTCACAAGGCTGCCTTTCTGTTGGATGGCACTTGGTAGCAGCATTCACTGCCTTTTTAATCACACCTTGAACAGATACATAGAGGACAGCCAGAACTGCTTCAGAAAGTGGCAAGAATGATGGGATAATGTGTTCAAAGTGAGGGAGAGTATTTTCAGGGAGATTAATGGCAATGTGTCTTTTACTGTAATAATTTTTTTTTCAAACATGTATGGTAGATTTTAATCACTCCTTCTAATTCAGTAACTTCCAGAATAGAATTGATTCCCCCTCTCCATTCTTTTCAATGTACACTCTTTATTTTCTTGAATCTAAGTGTTGAAATATCTAAGAGAAATTTATATATCAAAATAGATATTCATAATCATAAACTGGAAGGTAGGAGGAGTTTTAGAGGGTAAAGATTTTAAGGTGAAAGAGATGTACAGAGTAACTACTAGAAGATAAAAGGAAAATAAATGAGAACAATGAAAAGAAAGAAAAAATGAAGGAAAGGGAAAATAATAGACAATAAAAGAGAAACGGAGAAAATAGAAAAGTATAGGAAGCAAAAAGAATTTTTTTTTTTGTACCAGGGATCAAACTCGGGTCCTTGCGCTTGTGGGGCAGGCGGTGGAACCACTGAGCTAAATCCCTGGCCCTGCAAAAGGAATTTTTAAAAAGCAAAAGAATCACCAAAGTAGCCTGCAGTGCTTGAGTACAGAGATGCTGGCACACTGGGAAGAAATGGGGAATAAATAGCTCAACACAAGATTCCCTGGGCAGGTGGACCTGAGGAGCCGCTCAGTGCTGGAATCCACACAGCTCAGATCAACAGTGGCCCCACGCAAACTGATGCTCTTGCTACTGACACACCTCCTCCCGGAACCCGGGCGCTCTCCACAACCGCCTTCACCTCAGTTCTGGGACTCAGTCTCTAGTAAATATCCATCGACTAGAATGGTTCTTTGTAAAAAAGCAACCGAGTTAGAGTAATTCAAAGGTACATTTAAAACTACCACTTCTTTTACTAACCTTGTTTTTAAAAATTAAGAAGTTAGAATGTTAAAAAAAATCTAGGAGCTAGGGGTGTAATTCAATGTTAGAGTGTCTTCTTAGCATGTCGGAGATTTGGGATTCAAACCTCACTACTGGTTAGAAAAAAGTGTTATGAAGCAAAGGAGAAAGAATACTCTTGAAAAACAATCAGTGTTCATTTTTTTAAAGTTACCTCAGAAATTTCTCGGCATAATCTAAATTTCTAGGTTACATACAATTTCACTCGTTTCAGAAATGATTTTTTATTATCATAAAATAAACCTATCACTATAAAAGAAAACATTCTTGGATGAACTTTATACTGTATTTATATCGAAGAGATAGGCATATCTAGTAGGATTTTAGCCTCATTGCTAAAAACATAAATTAAACTGCCCCTTTAAGTATTTACAACATATGCCTTCTAAAAATGAATTAAGTAGTCTTGAGCAGTTTCACATTTAAGAGTTTTAAGTGAAATGCCTTTACATAAGGGTTAGGGACATAGCTCATTGGCAGACTGCCTGCCTAGCATGTGTGAGGGCATGGGTTCATTTCCCAGCTCCACAAAAAAAGGTGTGTACATAAAATCATTAAATTATAGCATACATCAATCTGACTGAAATCTGGTCAATTTAATTGAAATCAAATTCATTAAATTCAATTTAACATGCCTCAGATCTGGCTGCCTAATAAATGGTAGATATTTTAAATTCTGATACACCATGTTCTTCCACAAGTGAAGATAGGCTCTAACATTTAAATTTTCCTAAATGGAGTCAACTCTATATTCCACTTGCTTACTTAACAGTCATCAAAAGGTATTTACATGCAGGAATTACCTACATAGCTGGAAAATACAGGCCAATTTTATCCCATCTAAAAAAGTGTGCATCTGCACACAAAAATATTCTCTGTAAGATACAGTCCGTCCATTCTAGAACATTTTACCATGATTCAGTGCAAGTTCAGAGATGTAGAACACTGTCAACTCACCACTGGTCCCTCACAGAATCCCTGCATTACCTCAAATGAACATGTGTTAAAATATTTGGACAAAACGTGGAAGCGAGCCAGTGAGACTGTGCTTGGATTACATCACACAATCTCTTTGCTTAGGAACCATAAGAGTGATTTCTTTTAAATATTAGAGACCAGAAAAATTGTACTTTTGTGAGTGACTGTTGTTTTCAATCTCTTAGATACTGAAGATGATACAGAATTGCTCACATTTCCTGTGTGCTTTTAACCTAAGGGATAAATTCCAAATTAGCTCTAAAAACTGCAGATTTTTCTGATCTATGCTTCAGTGTGTTAGGTTATCTCAGCTGCACTTTACTGTTTCATCCTAAATCCATTCTGGTTTGATCCATTTCCCTTTGCGATCCTTATGGACACCACATAAATTTATAAGCTGTTCAGATGTTCTTGGAACAAGCATATGTTATTATACATTCAGCCAGTACATAAATTTTTTAAGATTTCTAAAGAAAAAAATTCAGCTGTGTTTCTACCAGATCCAAATGTGTGTGTGTGTACATATGTACTTTTTTTCAAGTGCTTGGGATTGAACACAGGGCCTTGCATGTATGCTAGGCAAGTACTGTATTACTGAACTATATTCCCAGCCCTATCTATATTTTTTTTTTTCTTCTCTTACTTTCTGTGCCTGGATTGCCTTCCTAAAATCAGTCCTCTGGAAGGGACACAGTTCTGTGGTAGGGCACTTGCCTAGCATGTAAGAGGCCCCAGATTTGACCCCCAGCTTTGAACTCTATCACCTATTTGATCTCTTGGCCATGTCCATTTTTAAAGAAAGATAAAGGACTTGATTTTCCATAGATGACATGAGAATGGGCAAGTCCCTGTTCATATCCATACACCTTGTTTCTAGTGTCATCAAACTTGGTAGCTCAACTTAATTATCTCTTTGATTGTGTCAATCAATTGGATGATCTTTGAAGCTTGGAATTTAACCCCATAAAAAAGGTCCAGGAACTGTTTCAACACACACAAAAACTCTCCCGCCAACCTTGCATTCATATATTGAGTAGATATTTTACATATTTAGATCTTTCCAATGAAAGATCTTCATTCATTCACTCAAATATGTAAGTATGAGCTATGTGCCAAAAGCTCTTGAAATGCTGAAAATCTATAGGAAGACAAATATACATAAACTGAAAATTATATTACATAAATAATTCAAATGATATTGGTATGAATAAAATATCATAAGACTCCAGAAAAGAAAACTATGGGGAAGGGGGTAGGTTTCTTGTTATCCAAGTTTCCATCACCAACAGCAATGGAGCAAATTACTTCCTAACTTACTTTCCAGCCAGCCTTAAGTCTGAGGTATTCCACAGACTTAAATATCAATTTATACACCATAATCCCACCTGTGGAACCAATGTCAATTGCACAGGGATCCAGGAGGAAAGCAAAAGATTCAAAGGAATCAGCAGCCCTTCTACAACTCATGGGTGAGAAAAGGGCCTGAGATTTCACCTTGGCTTCAGCACCTTATAAAGGTCAGTTCTTTCATCAGCATGTGAAAGTGGGGGCAAAAATCCTCCATAGAAGAGATTAAGGAAAAACTAAAGTCAGATACATGAGAAAGGTGGAAGAGGCAAGTACCACAAATCTGAATTATCTGGACATGTGAATTAGTAACCAATGTTTTATGTAAAGTGAAGGACAAAAAGGGGCAAAAATTCTCAGTTTTCTAAGATGCACTGGAAAGACTTTCTTCTTTGATAAGAAAAAAAAAGTCATTGAGCTCTTATTTAAAATTGAAAGGGACCATATGTTGCACTTAGCCATTTGATCATTCTGTCACTTAAGAATAATTTGTAACCATAAGTATACTATTAATAATTACATTGTCAAAGTTCCCAATTGATAAAAGACAACCTTAGTCTTTCTGCAAGGTTTTCTCTGCAATACTGGCGTTCTTCCTCTTGGAACTGACTAGAAGACAGAGAACGGCATGGCTCCTTGGGAATGAGACTGAACACAGAAAGGTCCTTCCAAATGCGTGCCATGAAGTCACAGCAGTAAAAGTTCAGAAAACAACCTCTGATCACTTTGGACACAAGAATGCTCTATGGCTTCCGGGTGAATAACAGATCAGCTAGAGAAAAATAACGCGCTAAAATGAATTACTTCTGACTTACCTCCATCATCCTCTTCAAGAATGCATATTTTAAAAAGAGACAAGTTATTGTATTAGAAATGACTTGTTCTGGCATTTTGCAAGCTACATCAAATAACAAAGAAAAAAGGTCTGACATCCAACTGTCATCTTCAAACTAAAATTCAGATGATGCTTTTCAAACAACTCTGAATTAAGTGCTCTTCCAGTATATATGACCAATAACGTAATATGTTTCACAACTTTTTAAAGTTATGATAGAACAAATGTTCTATATCCTATGCCTCATTTTCTGTTCATTTCAGGAAGTAGAGCTCACCTAGTAAATACTAAGCACAATTTCAAAAGCACTAGACATGTTAAAAGGGACACACAGAGCTAAGGTTAGGCTCTCACATACAGTGCACTGGTGGAAAATAGACAGGAATAAATATAACCCCCCAACCCCAAGAGACTGGGATGAAAACAGGATGGGCTGGGCCTAGCAAACCTTGGACACTACAGGTCATCACTGGTTTTAAAGGAACTTGTAAAAAGATGATATAAAATACAGTGGACCTTCAAGTTATGACTGGCCTGACATATGAACAACTTGGGTTACAACCAGAATTTTAATTTTAACTTATGAACAAAGTCTTGAGTTTCAACCCAAATGCTGGCCCCTTGTGTTTCCAGATGGTCTCAGATGGAGATTCAACCCTTAAAGAGTTCTGAAAGGAAGCTTACAGCATCCTTTCCTGTGTGGTGTTAGTTGAGAAATCTTGGGCCAATGTCTCTCTAAGGACACTGAGATCTGCCTGTATACAGGAGAGAGACTTCGAAGGCTGTGTAGAGGAGCCTGAGCCTTCATTTGCCCAGCTTGAGTTACAACTGCCCTTAGGAATGAACTGAGTTCGCAAATCAAGGGTCCACTGTAATTATAATAACAGCAAACACACTGAGCAAGGCACTGCATTCTACATTTAATATTTTTATCAACCCATAAAATCTTCAAAATAGCCCTGTGATGGTATTCTTATCATTATTTTATAGGTGACTAATTAGAGTACAGTATTTAGGAAATTTCCTAAATTCCTAAAGTTGATAAATGGCAGAACCCGAGCTTCATGCTATTATGCAATTCTTTTTTACTACAAGTCTAAATTAAGTTTCTGTGAATATCTTTCTTTCAATAAGCCAATGAAGGGGTGGCAGAGAGTCAAAATCCTTAACTCTATACCCATGCTACCATTTATGAAAATCTGCTGTGATGAGATCAGTGAACAACAGTGATGCCCTTCTATTTACTCTTCACTCAGGAGTCAATAGTCCTGATCAGTCCACCAAGAGAAAATTAAGAATTTATGGTGTCAAAATGAAGAAAAGGGCATAAAGCAACCAAATTCCATAAAGCACTGTTACACTAAACTGATCCTCAATTCTGTATGACAATATAAAATGTGTGCCCAGAACCAGGCTTGGAGATCATCATTCTACTGAGCTCCTGCAAATAAAGATGATGCTAATCTCCTGTAATCTTCCCATCCAACAGCAAAAAATACTTTAAGACAATAAAAAGAACCCAGAGAAAAAACAAAAAGAAAAATTTTTAAGAAAAAAATTACATATGCATTTTATATTTTTTAAAGTTATTTAAACCTGAGAGAAGAAACGTTTTATCTTGCTACTTCCAGTTATCTCTGACAGTAAAGACAACGGTTAAGAAAAGCCAGAGAAAGCAGTAAGTGAGGACATTCCAAGCAAAGAGGCCAGGGGCAGAAAGTCCTCTTTAGGGCCATCTTAGCTCAAATAGGAGGTGGGGCTGCATCTTCAATGATAGCTCCAGCTGAATGTGCGAAGGCAGAACACTCAAACTTGAGTGTAGCAGCAGTTGCCGGAGAACTCCAGGCTCCTGCTCCCCAACATTCTAACTCAGCAACCTCAAAAGTGAGGAATAAAACTCTTCAACTTCGTAAGACTCCCAGTGAGTACTGTATGTACCGATTGCATCGTACTCTCTCAGAGCCCTTGCTGCCCGGACTCCTACCTGTCTTAGCGTCCTTAGGCTCGAGTTCTTCATCTGGAGGTCTCGATGCTGGCCACACAGACGGGACTCGCCTGGGAAACTGCCCTTCCGAGTAATCCAGGGCGTGTGTGGGTTGACTGACTGCAGCCCAGGTGTAAAGCTGATCTTGCTAAATGTGAAAATTACAAATATATATATGTAGTTAATTCAGTTATAAGGAAAAAAGACTGATAAATTGCAAAATCATTTCTATGTAAATTGCATGAATATGCATAAAATACAAAATATTAAAACAGCATCTTATACCATTCTGTGGAGATTCATAAGATACCCATTCTTTCACACAGTCATTTCATTTTGTAACTGTGCTGTGCCAACTTCTTTTTAATAGTAAAATCGAAGTCTCTTTCTTTGGAAGGAGAGGCCACACAGGCCTGCAAAGAATTGAGAGGGAAAACACTCCAGGCACTCAGAGGATTCCTTAAACTGGAATCTTTCATTCACTTGAATGTGATAGCCCACTGCTAATACACTAGGGGGAAAGTCAGAGTACAGGCTGTGCAGACAGAAATAGCTCATTGCCTTCAACAGCAAAAGGCCCAACCTAACATGAGTCAGGTTGGAAACTGTTTGGGAGAGAAACTGCGAGAAAGTAAATGAATCTGCCAAGAATAAAGGAATTAGACCTTCTCTCACAGAAAGGCCTTGCTAGTTGGAGGTTACAGAACTTGGATGGGATGAGGAGACTGTACTATACCTAGTGTCAGAAGACAAACAAAATCTCACCAAGGAGGCCACTTTGAGCCCTGAAAATATCATGAAAACTGTTCGCTGGGACTTCAGAACAATGACATGTTTAGCCATTTGAGGGTGCATATGTAAGCCCTATATTCTCTTGTTGACATTTTCCTCACCCAGGTATATTTCCCTAATACTTTTTGATCAGCATCAAGTAAAGCAAAGAGAATACCAATATAATAGAGATGAAAAAACTGAAAACAAAAATATACAATAATCACCAGGTTAAGACTATAAAGTAAATGAGTTAACCCATGGAAAGATGTTACATTTCTTTAATTTGTTCAATAAATTAATAAATTCATAATACAATCTTTCTTGTCAAAAGTAAAATATAATGTATAGACCAGTTAGCTTAAACTTTAAGTTGATGGACAGTCACTGGCCCTCACTGTGAATTCAGACTGCTGTTGTCAGGACTGTATCAGAAAAGATCACATTTCAGATCTGGCTGAGCATTTTCAGCTGTTCATACTGCTTTCAGTTATTCATAACTTGACCTACAACAGAAGCTTAACTGTTTGCCAAATGAATATCAGAAGGTTTCTCATTTATGAAATCCATGTCTTATTTAATTAATAAGATAAATGTTAGATATGAGCTCTTATTGGAGAAAACTGGCCTGGCTGATACATGAGCCAACATCCCCATAACTGAAAAAGGTTAAAACTTTGCCAAGAACCGATCCAAAAGGGAGCCCTCCTGACAGTGCTGCATGTAGTTATAAGTTTAGGAAGATGTCTCCTTGCTGAGTGCCAGCAATGAGGCACAGAATGCTGCCTCCTCTGTCTATATCACGTGAATTTTTCATGGAAGATTTGATCAATCACCTACCCAGGTAGCAAGCTGGATACACTCTAACTCTCAGAAGGCCTTTATAGGCTCTTGTGAGCATTATTGTTGAGTGCTTAATAAATGTCTCTGTGTCTGGCAAAATTTCAAAATTTTATTTAAGATTTTTTTCATTAAAATGAAGTAAATTCTTAGATAAAAATTAATTCAAAGTGAGTCAAAGACCAAAATATAAGATCTAAAATCTAAAACTGTAAAACTCTTAGAAGAAAACAGGAGGAAAGCTTAATGACATTGAATTTAGCAGTATCTTAAATATGACAACATAAGCACAGGCAACAAAAGCAAAGAATAAATAAACCAATCTACATCAAAATCTTATATACCACAATCTAAGTAGCATAAATAGCCCATGGGCTCACTATATTTGAAAAACAAGTTACTTACAGCAGCTTTTTCCTCATCTTTCAACAAGTTTATAAATAATAATTCCCAAAATGAGCTATAAACCACATACAGCTTAATTATATATTTATTGTTATTTAGAATGAAACAATATTCAAAGTTCTAAGAATGCTTCACAGAAATTTTTATAGCTAAGATGAGGATTTGCCTACCACCTTAATATATTTCAGTTCAGGGCCGGGGATTTAGCTCAGTGGTGCTGCTGCCTGCCTCACAAGCACAAGGCCCCGAGTTCAATAGCTGGTACCAAAAAAAAAAAAAAAATATATATATATATATATATATATATTTTTTTTTTTTCAGATCATCAACTTTCTGGTACTGCCATAGTGAGAATGTTTTATAGTTCACTAATGTGTACATTAATGCAGAATATAAATTACCGTCTGACAGGAGTGGTAGCCATTCCCATCTATGACTGACCCACAAGTGAGTGGAGGTGCCATGTGCATTTACATGGGAATAAACACTAGCTGGATAACTTCTTTTATAAGATGCTATCCCACTACTCTATTTCCACTGTCCATGAGCCCACCAGACCCACATTCAAGTGGCAAAATATGGCAGCCATAACTCAGACACTCCAGGAAGCACAGTCTCCTAGTAGATAGCAAAAATCTGCATGAGAGAAAAAAGTGTAAACAAATTTACCTCAAAGTACACAATTCTTTGGTTTCTTCCCAAACACTTTTATTTTTTTTCCTTAAATTCTTTTATTGGTACATTTTAGGTACACAATACATTTACATTTTTAATTGGCAACTTGTACCTTTACATGATGCATCTTGGTTCTTATTTTTTCCCCATTCTTGCCCTCCCTTCACCCCCTCCACCCTTCCCTATTTACAAAGACTTTGTTTCCGTTTCTTATAATTTTTCCTTTCCCTTCTTTCCTTTCCTTCTACTTCCCTCCCTTCTTCTTCCTTCTTTCCTTCTACTCCTTCCACTCCCCTATGCCTTTGGACCTTTTCTTCCTATTTCGCATTATTAATTATTCATTTTAATCATTGGTACATTTTAGGTATACAATACAATGA